GGAATTGCGATGTTCTCCGCCTGGGCTGAGAAGGAAATTTGAATATTCTGCTGGGATTCCTACTGGAAATCAAAGTAGATGCTTGTGCCCAGGACCTTTGGGCCAGGTCCCAGATACGCACTGGAGTTGGCCTGAGCCCCCAGCCTGCCCCTTCCCTGGTCCTCCCTCTGTTTCTTCCTCAGTAAATAAGAATCCCACTGCTTCCTCGAACCCTGTCCATCGGTGAGAGGTAGGAGCAGTTGTTGACTTCTGAGAGCTGGGGAGGGAGGCACCCTCGAAGAGAAGCCTCCGGATTGGAGGAAAGCAACTCGAGGTGCAGAGAAAGTGCCTCCCCCATTTTCTGTGCTGGGTCCCTTACTGGAAAGCCCTTGATCCCTCTCTGTCACCCTCCTCCTCTCACTGTCCTCTTGGTCAGTGACATTGTGTCGAGTCACCACTCTCCACCCTCCAAAGAATATATTCTCATTTTCTGGAGAATTCTCTCCTTTCTGGTCATGCCCTCGGCCTCTCTGAGCTCCGCCAACTTGCTCTAAGCTTCCCTCTGCTAGTAACTTCCCTGTGGAACATAGTCCTCTCTGTGTTGGGGCGCAGAACCCACTGCCTTCCCCTCCTGGGGGCCCGTCAGGAGGAGTAGGTAGTCTCCAACCATTGTGTTAAACGAGGCTTCGTGGGCTGCCAAGTAGAACTTCATTCCTTTCCTGACTCTGAATGAAAAGTATTCACGCAACCACAACTTACACTGGAACATAAATCCAGTTGTCCTCACGTGCCAAAAAAGGCTGCTCTCTCGCACACGCTGGGGGACCCTTCCCAGCTTCACCCCCGTTGCCTACTGGCTACGGCTATTTATGAAATTTCTAAACTGTCCAAAAGGGGATGAGCCAGGAAAATTCTCTTGGAAGGATTTAGTCCAGATACTCACGATGTTAACTACTTGTGAACTCAAGAACTTGTAGAGATTCATGGAAAATACCGAGACTCCCAAACTCACATGCACTCACGCTTAATAGTGATGAAGAAGGAACATGAGATTATTCATGCCAATTAGCAACCTAGTTCAAGATGTGAATTTAAAAATGTATATTCGTGCCCGGTTGGCATGGCTCAGCCGTTGAGCATTGACCTATGAACCAGGAGGTCACAGTTCAATTCCTGGTCAGGGCACATGCCTTGGTTGGTTGCGAGCTCGATTCCCAGTGTAGGACGTGCCGGAAGCAGCCAGTCAATGATTCTCATCATTGATGTTTCTATTTCTTGCTACCTCTCCCTCTCCCTTTCCCTCTAAAATCAATAAAATAAATATGTATGTTTTTAAGTATATTCATTGGGCAATTCAGTCCATGTAAGCACTCCAGCTATTGTCTTCCTGTGCGTGTATCATCCCAGCGCAGTGGTGGGACCACAAAGGCAAGAAAAAGGGTATATGGTCCCCAGATGCTCGGGGTCCTTCTGGAAGGCCAGGTTAGCTGCCAATAAACAATCTGGGGGCATGGACATGCAGGTACCAAAAGGCTGGGATTCAGACTTGGATGGCACGGAAGGGGCAGGGCCTTTCTTCGTCCCGACTGTGAAAGGCTCTTGACAGTGTTAGCAACAGGCCCATCCCAACATCACTGAACTGGAAGCTAGAAACTTCTTAGCAAAAGAAAAGACATTGCAGGTGTCACAGGTACGCACTCATGGTGAAAACAGCCGGGGAAGTAGGTATTATTATTTCCATGGAACAGGTGGGGAAACTGAGGCTTCGAGAAGTGATTGGCCCAAGCCCATGTGGCTACAAGGCTGTGTGACCAGGCTTCTCCCCTGATCTCCTGGCTCCGTTCTCTTAACTGCCTTCCCTATTGCGGGCCCTGTGAGCATTCTTTCTTTTCTGCATGAGGATTTTTTTTCCCCATTGATTTTTAGACAGAGTGGAAGGAAGGAGGAGAGACAGTGAGAGAGACATCGATTGGTTGCCTCCCACACGGGGATTGAGCCTGCAACTGAGGTACGTGCCCTTGATCGGAATCAAACCCGAGACCCTTCGGTCCGCGGGCCAATGCTCTATCCACAGAGCCAAACCGGCTAGGACCCTATGAGCATTCTTTATACAGAACATATTTTCCTATAAAATATTCATTATGGAAAATTCATTTGCACCTTTCAGCAGCCCCGCCACCGCAGATTTTGTCACGGAAGAGGAGGCCAAACCTGGGGAGAATGACGGTCAGCCCAGACATGCATAGCCCAAGAGGGGCTGGCGACAGAAGCAGACAGAAATCACAGCTGCCAGGGAAGGCGCCGGCTCTCTGGGGAGCAGGTAAGGACCCGTGGCTCACGCGTCTTCATCCTCAGAGAGAAGTGACTTGTACTGTTATCTGATGAATTCTGTAGGGTTTTTAGACACTTGTACTTTTATGTAAAGGAGAGTTACCTTACAATGAAACGCAAGGTTTTAAAAACAAACCATTGACCCTAGTTGCCTTCTCCAAGGGAGGTCGGTGGGGGAAAGCAGGGCGGGGGAGTTTATTATTTTTCTCTGTCATCCCTCCATAAGCGTGACTGTGCATGTTTTGAGTGGATGCCCGCATTAGGCTTCCAGAGAGGGCATTTGAGTTGCTGGGTGTTGGGTTCAGGGTAGAGATGAGGCGGGAGGGTGGAGGAATGTCTCACTTGCCCACAGTTCCCCCGCCCCCAGGAGTGTCTGTGGGTGGCCGACTGCTCACCTCCCACAGAGACCTTTTCCCCTCTGAACCAAGGTGTCAAGATCTTACTATACGAAATAACATCAAAATGAATGTATGCTTCATTTCAAAATGCTGGCTTGGTAGACACCACCTCTTTCAGTCCTGCCTGCGTGTTCGTGCTAAGGCCCAAGCCATGCTGCTCTGCTAACCACGTCACCCTCTCTGGTGGTGGCAGAAGGACAGGACCTGAGGACTCAAGGAAAGCCCCACCTGACAGCCAGCCCTGCCGTGGCCCTGCCCTTCCCCGTGGGGAAACCACTGGGCATCTCACTTCCTCAACACCCACTGAATACTGTGGCCTTTATTTTAAAATATGACACAGACTGTGGTAGACAGGTGTAAATATAGAACATGATAGTGTTTGGACGGCCTGAGATTAGAGCATATGCGAGCCTGTAGCCACCAGACACCCACAGGACCCAGGGAACTGATGCTCCGGCAGGACAGAGCTCACTTCTAATGCCAGCACTTCCTCCTCTTGGAGGTGGAGCCCTAGATGGTCAAACAGTCACTCTGGGCTACTGTTCCCTTTAAAATAAGGATAATGAAATCTATCTCATTACATTGCTATAACTCAAGGAAACCATGTACTGACCAGCACGTGACTATAGTGGGCAGTGAACTATTGTTGGTTTCTCTCTAGCCACCTCCCCAATAGCCCTTGATGAACTCTCGAATATTATTTAAAAAGTGAAGCTCCCCATGCGTGAAACGTTCCTAGACCCATGAGGTTCATACAATCCTCCACCTGCACCCAAAAGACAACTTCCATTATCCTGAGAGATTCATTGAGAATTTGTCCCAATTTTGTCTTCTACCCAGGGCTCCTTATCTTCCCCCAATTATTTCCTCAGTAATCTCTCTTTAGTTCTTTTTTTCCATATTCTAAGGTGAGTTGCATAAATTGGAGTAGGAGCCAGATGTTTGAATTGTATCCGAGAGGTAGTATATAGAAAGCTCTTACAAATCAATAAAATACACACACACACACACACACACACACACCAAGAATATGAATACCTAATAGAAAAATGGTGACGAGGCATAGCAGATAATTTCACAGAAGAAATAGCTGATAAACATTTGGGGGTAAAAAGTTCAACCTCCCTAAGTAATAAATGTAAGTTCACATGAGAAAAATTTGGCCTACCAAATTGAGTAAGGTTTTTAAAATAATACTCAGTACTCGATAAATGACACTACTAACTTACTTCCTGGGCACTATTGTGTCAGATGCTGTGCCAAGCCTTGTAACACGGCTGTGAGAGATGCTCTCATATCCCGCCTGTAGGGTAACTTGGTACAAATTGGAATTTAGCAATGTGTCAAAAGGTAGAAATTTGTACCTTTTGATCTTGCAATTCCATTCCCTATTAATCTATTCTAAGAATATACGACAGATAGTCAAAGATGCATGGGCAAGGACATTTATCATGGTGTAATATATGGTAGCAAAAACCTTGAAACAATCTATATACCCAAAGATAGGAGAAGAGTTAAACAAATTTAAATTGCGATACATTTATATAATGTACCCTTATATCAGAATTAAGATCCTGTTCTTAAAATTGATGGCAGGAGCTAATGCTCACAGTAACAGTTGTAGGGAAGGAAAGAAGGACGTAAAGTTGCATATAGCCAAATATCCCGATTTTATTTTTTTTAAACAATATTTCTAGATAAGAGAGTCCTAGTTGCCTCCATGAATAGGTGGGTATGGCAGGGGAAATACATAGCAAGGGCTGTGGGCGGGGCCTGGGACCAGCCAGCACATACATGCTCCACCTATTGGGGTTCAAATGCTAAGCCAACACACAATTGCAAGATGAACAGCCCAGGGATCTTTTTTGGTGCCTTGCTGGGAACCAAACTGATGACCTTTCGGTGTATGGGACAATGCCCAACCAATGGAGTCACACCGGCCAGGGCCAGCCCAGGGATCTTGAGTTTGTGATCTATCCCTGAAGTCCAGGCAGTAGCAATGCCATGTGAGTTTTAGAATTTGGGTGGTTTTTATTCCTCCATCCCCTTCTGTATGTTCCACATTTTCTACCGTGAATATTGACTACTTTTATAACCAGAGGGAAACAGTTAAAATGATATGGCTGTCAGAATGTAGGAAGCTATTGGCCAAGCACAGGAAGAAGTCTAGACCGAAGACAGTCTTAGGGCAGATGGATGCCGTTTCTGGTTTCTTCTCATTGCACCTAGAACATTCAGTTGCATTTGGTTGAACTCCTGGACATGGCAGGCACTCCATCCACTGCTGGAGCCCATGCAGGGCCTCAGAGAGGCCCGGCAGCATCTGTGGGGCTGCTCTGTGAATAGCACATCCCTGGCGTTCCACACCGGTGTTGATTCCCAGGCCTTGAACTATGAAATCTGCTCCCTACTTGATTGACGCAAGAAATAGGGTTCAGATAGCATAAACATAGGATGCACAGTCTGCCGCATGTAGGGGACACACACACACACACACACACACACACACCAGGGAGGCGCTGATGGAAGTTTTAGAGGAAGGCAGTTGTGGTGATGAGGAAGGGTGGAGATGCGTTTCCTGGGGTGTTTCGCATCCACAGGAGCTGCAGCAGCACTTAACCTATGACTCCTCCTGCCCCAGAGGCCACTGTCACCAGGTGACAGCTGGTGGCTTCCAGGAAATAAGCTTATGGCTCCTGTTGACTTTCCAGTTTCTGTTTTGTAGAAGCTGCCCCAGCTGATTCCTTTGCCCGTTAGGCGTCTCCCAAAGCCTGAACCAAATTGGCTCTGGGCACAGGGGGCAGCTCCTGCCATACAGCAGGTTCTGAGTGTTCAGGGGGCGGCCAAAAGATTCCGGTTCCGGCACTCAGCCCAGTCTGGGTGGGCACACCAGCTGCCCGCCCATAGGTACAGCCAGATGCTCAGGGCATTCTGGCTTTGCTGATATGTCTATTACCGGGGCTTATGAAACCCATGAGGGGCCTGGTAGGAGAGCGTAAATGATTTCTAGAAGAGCCGATGAGTAAAGATTCGCACTGTGTAGCTGAGTGTCCCCCGCAGCTCACAATAAAGGAGGCTTACGGAACATTAGGACGTTAGAGGCTCGAGCTGGTGCTCCCCTGGGAGGCCTCAATTAAAGCAAGTCAGTATTGACTTGCCCTTGGCTGAGCCAGACATGCTCAGAGGATTTGCATTTCCCCTGCCTGAGCTGTTATCACGCGGCCTTCGTGAACCCGTCCATTGCGTGGGGTCCCGTCCACTCTACACGATGCACTGTGAACCGCTTTAGAAATCGAATGGTAAGGACAGCAGGGCCTTGTCAGATGCTGCAGGCCAGCACCCAGGGAGCTGAGCGGGAAGGCCAAAGTCAGGAGGGGAAGGTAAGTGGGATCACAGAAGTATTTTCAGTGTCCTATGCACATCAAGATGCTAAAAAAAAAAAAGAAGAAGAAGAACCCTCAACAACACACACAGACAACGATGAGTTACATGGATGCTCATTTTCACAAGGAAATTGGAAGTCCAGCCAGTTTCTTTTTTTTTTTTAATACTTTTTTTCTTTCAGAGAGGAAGGGAAAGGGAGAGAAACATCAATGATGAGAGAGAATCACTGATTGGCTGCCTCTTGCACCCCCCCCCCACACACACACACAAACTGGGGATCGAGCCCACAATCCGGGCATATGCCCTTACAGGGAATGGAACCGTGACCTCTTGGTTCATAGGTCAACACTCAAACCACAGAGCCACGCTGGCCCGGCCAGCCAGTTTCATAAGCATAATGCAAACCATGTATCGTAAGAAGACAAACGGGGTATCAGGCAGGCTTGAGTTCAAATTTTCGCTCCATCACCAACTAGAAGTATGATCTTGGGCAAGTTCCTTGACCTCCCTAAGCCTTGGTACTCTCACTTATAATGTGGTGTGACTGTAGTACCTGTTTCATAGGATTGTGAACCTAAATATGTACATGTGACACAGTTAACATGTTGCCTGGCCTGTTCAGTGTACTAGTAAGCTCTCAATAAGTAGGCTTAGTTATTATTTTTATAAGGCAAGTTTTAACCAAATAATTCCATCAGTAGTAATTCTCTCTCCTCTCTCTGTGTCTCCTCATACTTCAGGTCCAGGGCATTGGGGGGTAAAACTGTATTTATAGCCAGAGGTTACAAATTGACTAGGGGCTAGTGAAAAAGAGGAGGTAATGAGAGCATTATTGATTTTTATTTGCACTAAGTAGTAAACGTAATCACAGATCATATATTTAATTGGGCACCAGCTTCTAGAGCCTTCCTCCCAATCTGCCAAGGCAGACTGTACTTTTCTTAAGATTTTGTAGAGCTGTGTGTGAAGCAGGAGTGTCATAAATGTGTGTTGTACGAATTCAGATCACAAAGCACTGGTGGTTTTTGTAGAAGTCATTCCTGGAGTGTTGGTTTTCCTTTCCAACAAATACTGGAATAAAAACCACCATTTGAGAGATTTACCCATCAACAGCCCTGCCTGGCTTAGGGCTGGACAGTCTCCCCGAAGCTTCTGGAGACAGGATGTGTACCCTCCAGGTCAGCCCTATTCCCCAGAGCCAGCCTGAGTTCCACAAACATACAAAGGAGAAGTGCGATGAAGCCAGCTCTGGTACCCAAGTCTCATACCCTCCCGCCATGTTGACCACATGTCTTTTCTCCTCTAAGCTTGTTTGTTGCCTCAGGGACTCTCACCCTTGGTAGCGGAGGTCTTTCATCCGTGAGCACCGATAGTAAAATGATAAATTTGTCTTTTCTCAATGCAGATGCAGTTCAACGAGAAGGCCCAATGTGGGCAAGTGACACTAAGCTGAAGAGGCCAATTCTAGAGAGAAGAAACTTGGTCCCATCCTCACAGCCTTTGGCGATGAGCAAGAACGCCTCTGAAAGAGCCAGAAAAGGGGACCCACGTACCCTTTCCCAGAATGAGCCACACCCAGCCCTATCCCAGGCCTTCCCAGGAATGAACAGTCCTCGAGTACTGAGTGAGGCCTTGGGGCCACCACTCTTCACCACCACCATGGGAGGGTCGAGAAGGGTGCCATTTAGGTTCAGAGATGAAGATTTTTATTCCATGTTATCATTAAGTCATGGAGATGAAGATGATGACACTGAAGAGGAAATCCACGCAGAGGAAGAACTTTTGTTGCTCGGTATGCACTCATCCCGTTCTCCTTCCAATCATAAGAGAAGTCAATTTCTTGGAACTCAGGCCAAAAATAAAAACTGTAAAGAAAATCCTGAAAATTGCAGGGCTAATTCTGTAAGGAATGAGTCCAGTCATGGCTCACTAGGAATCAGCAATGTAAAGGAGCCAGTGAGAGAGCAGCCTTCTGTTGGGCAAAGGATGTTCCAAGACCCCAGGCTGCCTGACGGGGAGTCTACTAAAGAGAAAGACAGTGGTGACAGTGAAAATGAGAAAAAGACCTTTCGTTCACAGGACACCAAATTCAAACCTAATCTCGATGATGATCTCAATGCTGAAAATGTATTTAGTGATCCTGCTTCTCTAGAAGACAGGCCTGGGACCCATGATTATGAAAGAGAATGGCAAACCCATTTAAATAGTTCTAGTACTTCTCTTGATTATTTTGTTTCTGGAAGACCAACAGCCCCAAGATCATCAATAAATTCATCTTATAACACTCCTGGATCATTAATGCATTCTGCCCCAAGAGAAGACATTCCAGGAGACTTGTCAATGACATCGACTTTAGTTCACAGTTCAGACTCAGAGGGAAACTCAAGGTTTAATGTTCGTCAACCACTGTCTCCAATTAGAAACAGGAATCCATCCGCCAGTGCCGAAGACCACAGTTACTTTCCAGTAAACAGTGCACATGAATTTGGTGTCAGGGGAGCGGAAGCTAATCCTTTAACAAGTCAGTCTCAGAGGGCTTCAGTGCATACAGAAGATCTCTTACTAAATTCTCAAAGCAGCATGCCGCTGGCGGAGCCTTCCGGCTCCTTTCCATCAAGAATGAACTTACAAGGCCACTTGCTTGTGCCTGGGTCCCTGCAAGAAAATATGCCATTTACTTTCTTTGCAGTGTCTGATTTCTCAAACCAAAGTGGTAATGGGGACAGAAGGGCAGTCTTTGGTTTCATAGATGAAAAAGAAGCCACTAAAGAAAAGGCAGACCCAGAGAAACTCAAGAAATTGCAAGAAAGGTGAGGAATTTTCATGATTATATGAAAATGCATATATTTTTTTATTCCATTTTGCTGAAATAATCAGTGCTTTTATTAGAGGGTCATGGGAATTTTAAATAATACGTAGGCCCTTCCTTGACATTTTAATGACTACGTATATTGAGAAAGTTGTCTATTTTGTTGCTCTTAAAATATATGCAGCTATAAAAGAAAGTTTGGTGTTCCAGTTCAATTTCTTCAGTATTCCCTATGTGTTTTTCTACCCCTCTCGAATACTGCAATTTTAAGAAAGGTAAGTTTGCTAGATATAAGGATTTCTGACTGTTCCATAGGACTAGCATTTCTTACTGCAATTAGGAAACAAAATTTTTTATGAAAAGATTGCTATCTCCCCAACATCAGCACTTAAAATTCACCAGCTCTCCCTCATGGGACTTTGCACAAATCCAACCAACAGTTTTAGAATTTGAATCTTCCAAAGTAAAAGGCAGGTCCCCAATGGTTACCATAATTACCGCAGTTCTCTGAAGGGCTGCTCTGGGGTAACCACTGCTTCCATTTTATTTATTTTTTATTATTTGTATGTTTTTTAAAATTTATTATTTCAGAGAGGAAGGAAGAGAGAGAGAAACATCAATGAGAGAGAATCATTGACCGTAGGCTACCTCTTGCATTTCCCCTACTAGGGATGGAGCCCAAGATCTGGGCATATGCCCTGACCAGGAATCAAAACCTGACCAGGCATCATTGCTTCCATTTTAGGCTCTCTCTCTCTCTCTCTCTCGCTCTCTCTCTCTCTCTTTCCCTCTCTTTGTTAATCCTCACCTGAGGATATTTTTCCCATTGATTTTTAAAGAGAGAAAGGGACAGAGAGAGAAACATCATTGTGAAAGACACACATCGATTGGTTGCCTTCTACACATGCCCAACCAAGGCCAGGTATCGAGCCTGCAACCAAGGTACGTGCCCTTAACCAGAATCGAACCTGGGACCTTTCAGTATGTAGGCTGACGCTCTATCTATTGAGTCAAACCAGCTAGGGCTAGGAGCTCTTTCTCATGTGTGAGAGAGTAGATTTTTTTTTAAAAAAATTTTTTATTGATTTCAGAGAGGAAGGGAGAGGGAGAGAGGGATAGAAACATCAATGATGAAAGAGAATCATTGATCAGCTGCCTCCTACATGCCTCCCACTAGGGATCAAGCCCACAACCCGGGCATGTGCCCTGACTGGGAATCTAATCAAGACCTCCAAACTCATAGGTCCATGCTCAATCACTTAGCCACACAAGCTGGGCAGGAAGTAGATCTTTTTTTTTTAATTACTCTTTTATTTCTTATGAGTTGATATTGGATATTTCACAACTATCAAATTTGATAATTTGAAAGCCGTCATTAAGCAGCATGTCAGGATTCTGCCGTTTCGTTTATGCTAGGTGTTACCGTGCCCTGATCTTGGCTCACAGATCTGGAAATCGATTCTTTGAATTCTGGCCCTCTATGTGTAGCTAATTTGGGCCACTAATTAGCCTATTGATATTCATTTGTAAGTGGGAAATTCCATGGTAATGAGTTAGACATACAAAAAAGGAGAAAAAAATAGAACATAGAATGCATACATACTCCTAGATGTCTTTTATCCAACTGCAGAAAAGCAAGTTTCTAGTTAGTAGCACCTTTTTCTTTTCTTAAACAAGCCACCAGGAGACTGCCCCATGGTTAAGGACCAAACGCCCCGTACCCATCCATCCTCCGCTACCCAGAAATACAGCTTCAGACCCACTTGGCAGGAGTCTCAACCTCCACCACCCAAAGTGATGCCTATAAAAGAAAAATTACCTATAACTATAATCCAGCAATAAGCACTGTCAAAACTGTTTTCAGTCTTTTATCTTTGCAAATAAATGCAATTTTGAGTAAACACTGGTTCTTATTCTATAACTAGTGGCCCAGTGCATGGATTCATGCACATTGAAAGAAAATTAATTAGCAGAAATATTTTAATATCACTATTGACCCTTTCTCTGTAATAGAAGTGTCAACCAAATTCACAATCAACAATGACAGATCAAAACACACATGTGCAATTGACACCAACGAGAGCTTTATATATATCATGCATGCACGAGTTAATGTTTATTTTTAAATTGCCAGTGTACATCATATGTACCAGCCGGTCAGTCGGTCAGATGGTCGGATGGACAGATGGTCGGTCACTTAGCCTTTTATATATATAGATATACCTTACTTTAATGTTTCAAGTCCATTTCTCAATGCACTTCATGCTCTTTAAAATGTTTCCCTTGGTTAGTTACTTTAATACATACAAATAAGTATAAAACATATGTACCTTCCAGAGAATTAGAAAGAAAACAAAACCCAGACATCTCTGTGTCCACCTTCGAGCTAATAGAACATTGCTGGAGCTGGTGAGCCCCTCACCCACCTTGTCTCACCTCCCTCACGCAGCCCCTCCGTCCCACCCCTTCCACCCCTAGGAAATCATACATGTATTGCACTTATCATTCTTTGCTTTTTACTTTGTTGTTATTGAATTTATTTTGCTTTATGGTTTTACCATATTAATATATGTCCTCTTAAACAATATATTGTGCATATTTTTAAATTCTATAGAAATGTCACTATTATTTTTAATATCTATTCTGAGAAATGTAATATCTATTCTTCTACAATTTGCTTTTTCCCCTTATATCATTAGTGAGATGCATACTTGATGATATATTTGGCTTTAAATCATTCACTTTTACCATTACAAAGTATTCCATTATATGAACACCACCACAATCCGGCCATTCTTCTGTTGATGGACACTTGAGTTCTTTGCTATTTTCTGCAAACAGCTCAGTGTGAACATTCTCACTGTTGATGGACACTTGAGTTCTTTGCTATTTTCTGCAGCAAACAGCTCAGTGTGAACATTCTCGTAAGCATCTCTTGGTGCACATGAAAAGAGTTCTCTGGGATATTATTTTATCTAGGAGTGGAATTGCTGGGCTGTGGGTGGCATACCTTTCACCATACTAAATAATGTGAATTTATTGCCTCACCTTGCCAGCACTTGTATTGATTGTCCTTTCAAATTTTTGCCAGTCTGATGGGAGCAAAAAGATATTGTAGCTTTAATTTACACCTTCGTAACTATTAATGAGGCTAGGCATATTATGCGCTCTTTGGAATATTAAATAACAATTGTGTTTCCTCTTCTGTATGTCTTTGCCCATTTTTTAAGAATATTTTTATTTTATTTTAGAAGTCCTTTACATATTCTGGCCACTAGTATAATCGTTTGGCAGTTATATCTTAGAGATATATTTTCCCAACTGGTAGTTTGTCTTTTCTCTTTTTTGATGCCTTTTAATGAAAAGAAATTCTCAATTTGAACATGGTCAAATGTATCCACCTTCTTTTGAATTGTGACTTGTATCCTGTTATCTTAAGAAATCTTTCCCAAACCTGGGGTCATTATTCTTCCTATTTTCTTCTAAAATCTCTACAGTTTTACTTTGCAATTTAGAACTCAACATGAAATGGATTTTGGACTTAACTGTAAAGTGATGTTTAATATGTGGTGTGAGGTACATGTTATGAATTCCAGTTGTCCCAGGATCTTTCCCAGCTGGCCTACAGACCACCTCTCTCATGTAGCATACATATCAATGTATAAACTCCATTTCAGGACTCTCTGTTCTGTCCTAGTGGTCCTTTTTGTTGATCCCTGATCCAGTATCACATCATCTTAAAGTCTGTACCATTATAAATTTTGATAATATGGTACAAAGCCTCCCTTTCTACTTTGTTCCTTAAAAAGCCCTTGACTATATTTAAGAATCAGCTTGCTGGGTTTTCATTGGAATTGCATTGAATCTATAGACTATTATGGGGAGACATGACATCTTGGAGATAAACATTTCTCTGATAAACATGGTATACATATCTTTTTTCTTTTGTGTCCATAATGGAAAACTATAATTCTGTTCTTTTTTTATTGAACTTCCTTTTCTTAGGGAAAAAGTTCTCTTAAGAAACTAAGCATACACTTCTACACCCAGAGCAGTGACCATTCCTCTCTCCCTCTTGATTTTAGTCTCTAGTAGTTTCCTTTGCTTGACCAGACAGTCCCCAGTCCCATGAAATTCTAAACAACAACAACAACAAAATAGCATTGTGTTTCTCAAAGGCCTTCCTCCCTACATGAGCATCAACCAGCGAGTCTTCATTCACCATTTATTTGACACAAATATATTTGCTTACATTTTTATTCATTCCATCCTCATCAGATTCTGGAATACTGGTATAAATTGTTGGCAAGTGTCGTGGTATTGGTGAGCTCATGTCCACATTTATTGGTTCATCATTCATCCCAAACAACATCTACTGAGTGGCCTCTATGTGCAAATACTTTGGATGCACTTTACAGTTTGCAGAGCAGGTTCACCATCATCCTTGCATCCAGTCTACCCATGACCCTTGACGTAGATAGCGGGTGTATCATCATCACCCTGGCGTTACCCACAAGGAAACAGAGACCTGGGAAGCTTAAATCACGGGTCCAAAGTCGCCAAACTCACAAGTTGTGAAGGCAAGCCTGACCACAGATCCCATGCACTCTCCCACAGCTACAGAGCCGACTTCCTCACGGTGGCCACGCAGGGAGAGGGGTTCCCAGCCTTTCCCACAGCTCCCCTCCGCCGCCCTTTCCCACCCCTCCAGACTTAGGGTAGCATGCTGGTTCTCCTGGTCCGCTCACTGCATCAGCTACTGCAGAGACACCTGGTATAACTATCCGTGCGCCTACTATCAGTAACCACACCTGGAAGAATCTTCAGGAGGGTCAGAGGGAGCAGGGGTGGAACTGGGAACCCTGTGGGCAGGTGTGAGGGGATTGCTCCCCCCCCGCCCCCCCCGTTCACATCCTGGGAACTGGTATTTGTGGAAACTGCAAACGTGTGCACCCTTGGTCACGAGGGCTTGTTTTCCATTTAGTCTCCTGGAGGAGGACTCAGAGGAGGAGGGAGACTTGTGTCGCATCTGTCAGATAGCCGGGGGTTCCCCCACCAACCCCCTCCTGGAGCCTTGCGGCTGTGTGGGAAGCCTGCAGTTTGTTCACCAGGAGTGCCTGAAAAAGTGGCTGAAAGTGAAAATAACATCAGGTAAGTGGGGAAGGGAGAGCGAGTGGCGAACGTGCGAGGACACAGAATAATAGGAGGCACCGCAGTGTGGGACTCAGAGCCTTGACAACAGCTTGCTCACCTCCTCCGAGCAGGAACTCAGGGAAACGTGGCCACCAAGCCCGGGCTCCTGCTCACAGCCCTGGCCGATAGTAGCAGGAATCAAGGCTGTCTTTACATCATGGGAGGGGAAAAAGGAATTTTTTTTTCAAGTCTGAGAGCAGAATCCTGGACCTTATGCTATTGATCCTGACCCCTGCTTGAGGCCTCAGCAGAGGTCCCAGGAAGAAGGAAACTAGAAATGGGTCAGCCTTTGAACCTCAGCAAGCACACAGCCACCATGCCAGTTAGTAGACACCTGGCCAAAACAGTTCTGCTTCCATTTATTTAAGGGGGGGGGGGCACTAAAGAAACAGAGCAGAGCTGCCTTTTTGCAGTAGGGGTAGGAAAAGAGCACTGATCAAATTTTCTAGAACCTTATTAGACAAGGAGCCTTCCATGTGCTGGTTTTGTCAACTCTGTCTCTAGCCGATCAGATCTTGTAACTGGGCATGAAGCCCCAACTCCTGGGGAGGTTACAATCTAAATACAGCCACATCAGTAGGTCAGTGTAGTTTTCGTGGCAGAGAAGGGGGGGGGGTCTTTCAAACATGGTTTTAGGAATGAGAGCCACTTGAGCAAAAAAACACAGAAGCCCAATGCAAAGAACAACTCCATGAGAAAATAGCTGCTATGTCTTTCAGACACACGTCTCCAAAACTTTTTTTTACCCCCTAATCAGATCCTCTTTCCCACCTCTTCTACTTTCTCCTCCTTCGTGGCCATCCTTCCAGGCAGCCTGGGAGACCTAAGAGCTCCACCCTGTCCCCAGGGGGTATGGCTGTGCCCCCTTAACTAGAACAGAACACCATTTAATCAGAGAAGTGAACACGTGGGATGATCACACTGTCTCCTCCCTGAGGCCCTTACACCATAAACAAATCTGCCTGAGCACACGCAACCTAGGGCCACTGCCCACACGGCTTAAATGCATCTCCGTGTAGTATAGGCAAAGGACTGAGTCCCTCCAAGAGCAAAGAAAGAGTGGATTTCAGCTGCTAATGACTCTGCCATGCAATATTTTCTCTGACTAGAAATTTAGGCTGATTACGCATCTAGCACAGAAAAAAAAATTACTCATGAAATAGACGATGGAAGTCCTGTTAAATGCTTGTAAATGCCGACGTTGGTCGGGTGTGTTGAGCAGGATTAGGTTGGAAGACACATGAGACATTCAGTAGCCTACAACATTGCAGACTGTTGCTTTAAAAAAAAAATCGAGTGAACAAAATGCAGATAAGGGATTACTGTCCATCCTTGTCCTTGGAAATTCTTTATTATTTACTATCTCTCCTTACCCTCAGTGGGGACAAATAGGGCTCTGAAACTGAGCAAACCTTCTCTTTACCAAGTAAGTGCGGTAACTAATTCGTCCTGCATTCTCTAATGCAAGCATGTCAAACTTGCGGGCCGAGGGCCGCATCCCTCGTTCATTTGGCCAGTGTTAGCCTTTGAGTTTGACATGCTTGCTCTAACCCAGCCATGGTCAAACTATGGCCCGTTTGAAATGAATAAAACTAAAAAAAAAAAAAAGACCGTACCCTTTTATGTAATGATGTTTACTTTGAATTTATATTAGTTCACACAAACACTCCATCCATGCTTTTGTTCCGGCCCTCCGGTCCAGTTTAAGAACCCATTGTGGCCCTCGAGTCAAAAAGTTTGCCCACCCCTGCTCTAAAGTATAAAATAAACATTGGCACATCATTAGCCAAAATGCAGCAACGACACTGAGGGAAAGACGTCTGGAAGAATGTTTGCCCAGACAGAACAGCCACAGGTCTGCATCTTCCACTTTTGCATTGGGAGTAGGATAAGTGGAGAAAAATGCTGATCTAGAATACATGTTTAAAAAACAAAAACAACAACAAAGGAAGCCTTCTCATGTTTCTTTTCCCAACTCTGAGCTCAGGTTCAAGTGCTGGCCCCGGATACTGCTGTGCTAGTTCCCATACCTGGCCCCAGGCTTCCTCACTTTTCTCAGGTGAGAAGTCACTTGTGTGGGAGTTAAGGCAGATTTTTAAGCCACAGATTGAGGATAGCTTCCGCCACCCATTTGGTCCCCACCAATTTATTTACTTGGACCTGTGTTAGATCTGCAAGAAAAAAAACCCACACAAAATAGCAAAAACATAGGCCCAATATTTACCTTTTTTTTTTTGCAAAGGCCTGTGTTACAGACTCTCAACCTCCATGTAGCAAACCCAATTTTATGAACCAGTATGTTTATATTAAAACTGAAAGCAAGACCTGTTATTTAAGTCATGGGACTTTCACTTATAGGAAGCTTGCATAATAATGAAAGTGATTGCAAAGGAAATTTTTCCATTCTCAGTTTCAAGGTCATTTTCTAAGGAAGATGACCGACTTTAAAAGAAGGTCACCGAAACTCTGAATTCATAACACACACAAGTTGGCTCTCAAAATGTCAACACCAAAAGACCCAAAGCGTCAACACAGAAAGACCCAGGGTCATACATAACAAAGAATTCTTTAATTTAAGGGGCGAATCTAGGCGCTGTGAAGACCTGTGAGATGTGTAAGCAAGGCCTGCTGGTCGATTTGGATGATTTTAACATGACTGAGTTCTACCAGAAGCACCAGCAGTCCCGGGTAAGAGACGCGCACAACCACTCTGCCCCCACAGGCTAAAGTCGGTTAGACATACAGGGTCAGCCCTAGCCAGTTTGGCTCAGTGGATAGAGCCTCAGCCTGCGGACCAAAGGGTCCCAGGTTTGATTCTGGTCAAGGGCACATACCTCGATTACAGGCTCTACCCATCCCGGGCCCTGGTCGGGGCTCGTGCAGGAGGCAACCAATCAATGTGTTTCTTTCACGTGGATGTTTCTGTCTTTCTCCCTCTCTTCCCCTCGCCCTAAAAATCAATGGAAAAATATCCTAGGGTGAGGGTTAACAACAACAAAATAAGGATAATAGAGGTACAAAGTCAGAGAAACCCTTTCCCCGATATAAGGAAGGCAGAGGCCTGTGCACGTGTGCAGTGGGGAGTGTTTATTTAGCTCCCTTCTTGGAGAAGGTCTGTTACTAAATTAGAACATTGGAGGGTTGGAGAGTCTTCATCACCCTGGGTTGAGGTCCCGCTGCTGTCAGGGACAAAGATAGGAAGCTGTAGTCGCTGAATGGACACACAGAAATAGGAAAAGTCTGGCAGGCTCTGAGCCCAGATTTGCTGGAGGAATTTAACAGCAACAGGAGAAAAAAAGATCAGGATCGTAGAGGAAATGGTCTTCCATTTATATATCAGGTAACTCTGGGATGCTCGGGAACTGCCTAACTCAAGGGTAATAAACATGTAGTAAGCACCTACTGTGTGCTTTTTAACACCTAGTGAATTGCAGTTCTAATACTGTAAAAGAGTGGGATGCTCGGGAACTGCCTAACTCAAGGGTAATAAACATGTAGTAAGCACCTACTGTGTGCTTTTGAACACCTAGTGAATGAATTCGCCTGGGGTATTTGAATTGCAGTTCTAATACTGTAAAGGAGTTAGTTAACCTTAGGTGGGAAAGTGATGTATGCCCAGGATAACAGTTAATTGCCCAACTCTCAGACAGACAATCTGTATTTAGAATCCACTGCACAATGTGGAAGCCAGAAGCCACACGTGGCTAATGAACAGGTAGCTACTTCCAATCAGGATGTGTTAAATACAAACTGAATTAAAAAATAAAGTGTCAAGTATCACATAAATACATTTATATTCATTATTTGTTGAAATGATAATATTTGGGATATATTGGGTTAAATAAAATAAATTGTTAAAATAATTTCACCTTTTTTTTTTTAGTTCTCTAATGTAGCTACTTGGAATTTTCAAATTACATGCGTGGCTTGTATATGCGGCCCACACTATGTTTCTTTTCTATTGGGTGGTACTGATCTATAAGGTGCCTTGCACATAATAATCAGTCAATAAATATTTATCAAATGAAAATAGCTCCCATGACCATTATAATTTAAGAATGACCTCCCTCACAATGTGATTAGAAAAAAAGATTAGCCCGACCAGCATGGCTCAGAGGTCGACCTATGAACCAGGAGGTCACAGTTCGATTCCTGGCCAGGGCACGTGCCCGGGTTGTGGGCTGATCCCCAGTGTGGGGCACGCCAGAGGCAGCCGATCAATGATTCTCTCTCATCATTGATATTTCTATCTCTCTCTCCCTCTCCTTTCCCCTCTGAAATCAAAAATAATTTTTTAAAAAATTAATAATCACGACTGTAAAGCACATAATTTTAAAACCATAAAATCATTGTTAACAACTGAAATGTCAGCCTCGGAGGAGGAGTCCCTGTGGCTGTCAGACCTGCAGCCTGAATCCAGACCTTTTGTGCCAGTAGCGCAGCTGAGCTTACATGGTGCGTGTGAGTCTGGGCATTTCTGTAGTTACTTTTTTAAAACCCTAAGGCTGCCAGACAAAAGAGCGAAATATCGATAAGAATGGGGATTTGAACAGCGCAACTAATAAGGTTGCAATGGACATAATGCCACACCAGCGTTGCAAAGAATGTGCATCAGAGAGTTGGGGGGAGAGAGGAAGGGAGGGGGAAAAAAGGATTTTCTGAGAAATAAACTCAGTATTTTGAGTCCATACATGTTGAGGGTCTTGAATCATTCAGCCATAACCCCCAGGCACCGAGATCTGAGATGAGAAACAGAAGCGACTCACATTCTTGGACCCTGAGGATGTTAGAGTCAAAATTTTGAAAGGAACCAGGCCCTCTGCCTGCCTGAGGTCAGGGTGCCAGCTGGGGTGCAGACAGGGCCCATGTGGTCATCTCGAAGAACAGATTATTTCAGGAAACGCAGCCGGCCAGACTTCCTGAGAAGGACACGTCCAGACCAGGCCGTGTTACTCGGAATGCTGCCAGGATGGTCTGCAGCCTCACAAACACCGTGTGGCCCGGGGAATGCCTCGTCCAGTAAATCCCCCTTCGGGCCCGAGCGTGTCCACACCGCTCTCCCTCTGCTAAGCTGCTGCCCTGCACCATGCACTGCTAAAATGTTTGCACTCATGAAGCCAGAAGCAGCCATCCCACCAGCTTTGACTAAGACATGAACCTAAATCCTATTCCCTTCCCCAAAGTTGCTGTGTGATCTTGGGGAAACTACACGAACTCTCTGAGCCTCAGTTCTCTCATCTATAGGAAATGGAAGATGACAATTCCTGCTGACAGATGTAGGAAAAGGCCCAAGTGCATCACCTAATACCACGTCTGTGCACAGAAGGTTCTCAGTAAGTGAGAACAGCCATATTACAGCCACAGAGATGCCCAAAGTCTTCGGCACTCCAGAGAGAAAGCTACGTGCACCCTGAACCAAGCCAACGGACCTACTACACAGGGTCCACACTGCATCCTACCAGCTGAGACACCAGCTAGGAGCACACTGTTAACAGAACTGTGAAAGTCACTGCCAGCCAGAGTCCGGGCAGGAAAGAGACGATGGTAGATTCACAAGGGGTGAGTGCTGAGAGCTGAACGACGGGAAGAAATCAACAAGAAACGACGAAGCAACTGAGATGGCCAATGCGACCTCCGCTAGGCCTGCAGTGACAGGGGAGGGGCAGTTACAGGACCAGGAGAGCTGTGACCTTGGGAGAGAGTGGCTAACAGCCTGTGACCTTGAGTGGAGGTCACACCCCCACCCCCACCCACTGGTCTGCCACAGCCTCCCTTTGGCCAAACCCAAGGGGAAGCCAGAGCACAAGGGGGTCTAGTTTAGCGCAATCCATGGAGCTCGGCCTCAAGGCCACAGGGCAGGGTGGGAAGTGGATCTGGGGGGAAAAACGGAAATTACCCGGCACCGAAATTACGTCACTTGGATGCAGAAAAGAGTTGAAACTGGTTTCAGTGAGAACTCGACCGGCCTTCAAAGCCTTTTGAAAATGCCCTGCATCCCAGTCACGGGGAGGGACCGGATTGGCAGCACTCAAGGGGCCACTTTTACAGCAGTTCCCACTGTTTCCGTGGCCCGTTGTGAATTTAATAGTGTCTGTGTGCTTAAGGCCCGAGTTAAACTTGAGACACTACAGAAGCATGACCTAGACACGTTCAGGAACTCTCCACGGATCAAGACTGAAGTAACTGTTGTTTAACACAAAGATGTAGAAGATGTAATACAACCTGGACGCGACCCCAGCTGGGGAGGCCCCGGCCTAGCCACAGGCCTCATGGGCACAGCTGTGCACCTGCGATCCAGGCCCTTCCCTGACTCTCACACCTGGACTCCTCTGGGCCCTCCCAGCCCACCCTCCGTGCTGCTCTCACCCCTGGAAAACAGGTCCTCTTATTGAGATGGGGTAGCCGGTGCCAAATACAGACACGTACAAAGACAGGGACAAAGCCAGGAGACGCCGAGGCCGGGCTTCAGCTCAGTCTGGCTCTCGCCTGACCTCAGCTAACTAACTAACTCACTAACTTACTTCCTCATACTTTAATTATAAAAATCGAAGACACACACACACAAAAACTCCCCTAATTAAAACGAACGTTTAGCTGCATACCTTTTTTGATGATTATTATTAAATTAATGCTGATGCCCGGGCCCAGCCTCAGTGATCCTGATTTAATTGGTCTGGGATGGGACCAGGCACTAATTTTTTGTGCGAAGTGTGGCAAAATACACATAACACAGAAGTTCAACTTTTAAAGCACAAGGAGTGCCTACCGTATGCTGGAGGTACCGTGTGCCGAGGCCCACAGGGCCGCTGCCTTCTAACGGGGAAGACTGTAAGTGATCGTAACGTCGTGTGGGGGGCCCAGAACAAGGGACGTGCAGGCCGCTGTGGGAACAGCCACGGAGGGGCCTGACCTGCTCTCAGGACCAGAGAAGGCCTCCCCGAGGATGAGACTGTTAAGACCAAGAAGGAAAGAGAGGAAGTAGATGCCTCCCTCGAGGTCTGACCACAGACAGACTGGGGCCATTGCCCGTTAGGGGCCCAGTCAGCACTGACAGTGGTCTGGGCGGGTGGGAAGGGGCTTAGGTCAAAGTATGTTTTCCTGCTTTGGTTCAATGCACCTGAGTAGGGGCAGAGTGAATGCTGCCCAAGAGCCCTAACAGGGCATTGAGATCTGATACCCCCTCGGTTCTCAGACATTGGGTGGTTCCCACAGGGCCCTTGTTACTGAGCATCGCGTGGCGGGATTAGGAACTCTGCCAGGCTGCCTGGAGCGGCCCCAGGAGGCTGAAGCAGCTGTGGGGCCCAGCCCGGCGGCACCATCGCAGGCCTGTCAGGGTTCATGGCCGTCAGCTCTCCGTCTCCGCTTATTCCTCACCCACGGCACATCTTTTGGAAGTGCTGTCGTGGGTGTGCTCTTTAACCGGAAGTAGTTGATTCTGGCTGGGACATTCGGTTTTTCAGTGAAGGAAGAACTCCTGGATAGTAACAAGTAGAGCTCCAAAAGGGGCCAGGAGAAAACAGGTATGTTTTGTTGTTGTTAATCCTAACCCGAGGAGAGTTTTTCCACTGATTTTTAGAGAGAGTGGAAAGGGGGGGGGCGGGGAGAGACATCAATGTGAGAGACACACATCAATTGGTTGCCCCCCCCACCTGTGCCCCAGCCAGGGATTGAACCTACCACCCTTCAGTCTGAGGGCCAAACAGGCCAGGGCACAAAACAGGTTTAAGACAAATTTAGATTGCAGGCAGATCACAAGTGATCAGAATCTTCCAAGCGCCACAATAGGGAGTGGTGGCAATTGTGGCAAAAGGCAGAGTACTTCTCTCCAACTAAAGATGTGCGTCTCCTTCCTTCTGTCCTGCCAGGGCTCATCTGCCGGCCAAAGGGAGCTTGCTTAGCTTCCAACTGTTGCTCCTCAGTTTACAGCAGTGGTTCGCAAGAATGGGTGGTCCCCAGACCAGCAACATCACCTGGGAACTTATTAGAAACGCACGTCTTGGGTCCCACCCCAGACCCCTGAATCATAAA